CCACCCTCGAAAGAGCTCGTCAAGGCAGGAAAAGACTGGTTCAGCTATAAGAGCGTTTAGTTTCTGTAGCATTTTCCCAGAGTTGGAGAAATTTAGTTCTCCCAAAGTAGTATTTTAATTGCCAAAGTAGACACAGCGGAGCTCTTCCTAAGTGCTGATGCAGCGCACAATAAAGTGTATCTCCTTCATGAGCAGCTGAGCTCATGCAGGATGTTCCTGTGGGGTCTTTGAGGGGATGAAGCTGATGCTGTGCTGAAGCACAGACAAATCAGTTTTTAAAGGCCTGACTGTTACCATGTCCTCATTTGTATCATACACCGTGGATTTCTTTGTAAACGATTTAAAATTGCATTTTAATATTACAAGGGATACAAATACATATTTTTCTGATACATTACTGTCTTCCTGCCTTCCTATCATTTTTGATAGGTGTTCAATCTATTGGTAACACCAAAACTCACTCTCATGCCTTCAATGAATATGGCAGCAATTGTCTTCTGCAGAGGGAGCAAGCATGGGTTCAGAAACAGGGTGTCCAGAAACCATCGACAATCAGGGCACTGAAAGCGGACCAGACACAAGCCCAAGCCCAAGCCCAGCTCCCCACCACTTCCCTGAATATTAGTTGCACTACAGAGGTTAAAAGCCAGGCTGCTCTTTGCTTAGTTATTTAGAGATAGAGTATTTGAAATGGAGAGTGTATGGAGAGCTCTAAGCACCCTAAAGGATCATTAATAATTGCAGCACAGTTGTGAATTTCCCTCCCTGTTATGGCTGCAGATAAGCAGAACCCATAAAAATTGAGCTCGATTAAAAAGAACACAACCACAACCACAACCACAACCATGCCATTCCCTGTGCAGAACTGGAGGGGGGTTTAAGAACCTCAACAACTAAGCTTTGCTAATCACTCATGACTAATGGCGTTTCAAACATCATCTTCACTGCATTTGAGCCAGGCGAGAAATGTCACGGATTCCTCTGAGGCTTGTTCTGTCTTTGCCTACTCGTGTGGGAGGGACAGATTTAGAGAGGACATGCAGCACAGCGGCTCTACCCACTCTGTTCAAAGCTGACCCAGGGGGCTTCAAACCTCGAGACTCTGAAGGGGAGGCAGAAAAAATCGCAAATGGAAATATTCCTCTATATGGAGAAAGAAAAACAGTAAGATGTTCCACCTCTGTAATCCAAAAGGAGGGATCGAATTCTTCTGCTTACAGACCTAAAGATGAGTCTTCCTAACTTCAAAGCCGTGCACTAGAGACAGCAAGAGATACCGGCTACGCTCCTGCCTGTACGTGCTTCTGGTCATTCATGCTTGCAGAACTGAAAACTTCTTTGCTAGTGTGTTGCTTTTCAAGAAGTGGGTCTGGGCTACAGCCACTCTGCAAGACCGCTGCGTGATGGGAAACCAGCCAGCGCTCGGATTGCGTGCAAAACAAAGCAGAGGGACACTGCCCAACTTCCTTCGGGAGCCAAACCTCCAGGCACCCCAGCAGTGCTGAATGCAGGTACACAGTGGCATCAGAAGAGCCTGCACTGGAATGATGACTGACTCTGAGCACATTTTAGAACTTCTCAGCGCAGTCTGAGGTTTCCAGGTATCAGAAAAGGGTGTCAGACAGAGCAACACATCACCTGTGGTATCTGCTGGTAAAAGCTACCTTGTTGAGAGGCCAGGTCATGGGGGCAATGTGTTTTTAACAAATTAGCTCACACTTATTTAAAAACAACAGCTGATATCTGACTAGCCACATGCTGCATCGAAGTCTTAATGTGTATTAGCTGAGCAGTGTATAAAGGTATTAAAAGTGCTAAAACTGCAGTTGGCCTTGCTGCCGCAGTTTGCAAATGTTAAGTCCATGTGTGCTTCACGTGGATGCCCACAGTTCCTTCTAAGACACTACTACTGTATGCCCCATCCTTCAAAGGGTTCAAGGCCAGGCTGGATAGGGCTTTGAGCAACCTGCTCTAGAGGAAGGTGTCCCTGACAGGCAGGGGGGTTGGAACTAGATGATCTTCAAGGTCCTTTCCACCCATTCTATGATTCTATGCAGATGCAGAAATCAAAGGTACATCTGCTTTTTGAGCTGCAGACACACATGTGCTTCTTCCGTGCTCAGACACAGGTCAGCCGAAGACAGGGACCACGTCAGCATGGCTTTGTGCCAGGGCTGCGGTCTTGTCCCCCGGCAAGGTGTGGTGCGGTGCCACCACGGCTCAGCGGCTGCCGGGGTAGGGACCCCGCATCTGTCCGTGTGTGTACGGGATGAGGGTCCGTCTGAGCTGCGGGGCTGCAGCATCGCACGGCTGCCTTTGGGCACTTGTACCTGGGCTTCCCTTCTGCAGAAACCAGGGGTGAAGGGTGACCTTCTCCCGCTCACGGCACAGTTAGGCTCTGCCACAGACTATGAGCACATGGGACATTTGAG